AATAGCCACCCATTCCAATATCCAGTACCCCATGGACAGGATTGGTGTGCTATGGCCATGAAGAGTCAGACATGACTGAACAGCAACATTTGACATTTAAAGCCAGGCTGTGTGTGTGTGTGTGTGTGTGTGTGTGTAGTTAATTGCATGTTATCTCTTCCATTAGAATATGACCTCTGTGAAAGCTGGTAGGTTTTTTTTTTTAATGTTTGTTTTGTTTTTTTGGCCATTTGTATTCTGCAGTGCTTATTAGCACTGTCCCCAGTATATAGTAAGTACTTAATAAATGCTTATTTATCGACAGCTGCTTCTCAGGGAATAGGTTGAAGTTTACATTGGCACAGTGATGAAAAGATCTCTTAGCAAATTACTTTGGTAAATGTTATATTTTACTTGATTGAGAACATTTCCTCCTTAAGAATGTTAGCTTTTAAACTTATGGCAGAAGTTACAGAAATTAACTGTTTTGGTCTTTAAGGAATTTTAAGAAATGAGATGTTTTCACTATGAACTTTTTTTTCTTGGGAGGGGTGGGGGTGGTAAATGGCAAATGAGTCTTAAATTCATTAAGGCAAAGAAGGCAGAACTTCTCTTAGGCACCACTCCCAACAGCAGGTATTTCAGACTAAAATGATACCTTTCCTTGAAATATATAACGCAATTCAGGATATTTTTTTCCTTAGGAATGATTTTTGTTTAGTTGTATCTCTTATAAGGTTTTCTTTAAATTGGTTTTACCTCTTTGCTTTATGAGATAGTTCCTCTTTTTCATCATTTTTCATAAGATTTTACAGATCAGCTTATATTTAACTTGGTGTTGGTGCCTTTGGCACCCAAATCTGTTGCTATTCAGCATCCCAGAATCAGTTTTTTAAAAAAAAAATGAGAAAAATGAGAAATGGTTGAAACAATTTAAAGAATTGGAAATGGACATCAGAAATGACATTAACACTAACTATAATAATTTTATCCAGGAATTTAACCAATGTAAATTAATTGGCACAACAAGGAGACCAAGAAAACTCAGCATCTTAGTCATTAGATGTCTGTAAACTCTTTCATGATCAGTATCATTTTATAAAGCAAAGAGAAGCAGAAGAAAGTAAAATCAAGTTTAAAGTCATCCTAAGAGCATTGAGAAAGAATAGATAGAGTCAGGAAAATTCCTTTTCCCAAGTTCAAATCCAGCCTCAGAAACCTACTAGTTGTGTGATCTGGGCAAGTCACTTAACCATTTGCTTCATCTGTAAAATGAGCTGGAGAAGGAAATAGCAAACCACTCTTTGCCAAGAAAACCCCAAATGGGATTAGGCAGAGTTTTACTCAACTGTGAAACGACTGAACAACACCAAAGAGTATTCATAATGGAATAAGGACTACACACAGAAGAAAACTAGAAAAGATTTGCAAAAAACATTTTAACGAATTGTTCTGTATGTGTAGGACTGTGGAGCCACCACACATTTCTGCTGCCCCTTTAATGGGAGACCTAGGAGTTTGGATTCTTCTGAATGCTAGATAACCCAGCACACTTGAACTGGATAGTCATAGTCCTGGATCTCTTAGAGTGGGGGAAGAAATGGGACTACCAGGAACAAAGTCAAGAAAAGCAACCAGACTTTACCAAATTTATATGGAGGAGGTCCATTCTAGAGCAATACTGTTTTTTCCTCAAGCTTCTCAACTTTCCTCTTAACATCTAAAGTAGTCAGTATTTTGGCTTATTTGGCACTTTGGTATGTCCTGACCCCTATGTCCTCCATTAAGATGCAGTGAAGTGCTAGTCTAGACCCTTGGTTTAGCTTTGTCACCAACTCAAATCATTTCCCTTTTTTGGATCTCAGTTTCTTCATCTCTGAATGAGAGAGATTGATGTTTAAGGGTGCTTTCAGCTCTGACATTCTGTGAGTCTGGTTTTTTTTGTTTTGTTTGTTTTTTAAAGCAGGATGTAAACTAAAGTGTGGTCTGGATTAATGAGCTTTGTACAAGTCAGCTTTTGATTAAATACATTGGGGGCGGACTACGACGACACAAACTTCCACCTGCTAATGTATACCACTTGCTAAGTGTGCTTAACTTAAGGAAATCCTGGCCTGTCTTTTTTTTCCCCCTAATAAAATCCTAATTGTTTTGAGGAACTTCCTAGTTCCTCATATCTGCCTACACCCAAGATAAGGGTTTGTTTTTGCACATTTGGACTTGTTTTTGTCACTTGTATGGAAGATAAAAGAGCTCTCTTTTCCTTTTTCTGATTGGCCAAAGAACCTTCCAGGCCGTGTAGACTTCAGCCCCGGTGATTCCTCTGAAGGGAAGATTATCCAAGATTGTTGGGTGTATTCTGTCCCTATGGTTTATTCACCCCACCCACTCTTTCTTGCTAAAATATTAAAACAGTTCCTCAGAAATAAGGGGAAAGCTATTTTGAGTTTTGGTCGAGGTGGAGTCATTTTTAGAAATTAAGTGTAACAAGTAAATTTTAATTCAGTCTTACAAATTTTTCTGCTCAGACCAGGATCTCAGATTAACAGTATGGTCAAGTTTGTATCTTTTAAATCAAATTATTGGCTACCTCTATTGCAAGAGTGGGATAAACCATAAGTTTGCCACAGGAATCCAGCTTTGTTGATTAATGCAGGCCTTAAGAACTATCTGAGAAATGATAGTCAAGCTTCTCAACTTTCCTCTTAACATCTAAAGTAGTCAGTATTTTGGCTTATTTGACACCTAGGTATGTGTAATTTCTCTAAAATCAAGTTTGTCTCCACTCATCCTCCTTTTTCCTCTCCTGACATTTTTTTTAGACACAAGCCAACCCCTTAACTAAGTTTTGAAGGATGGGTAGAATTTAGATGACTGGGGTGGGGGCATGGCAGAAGCAAAGAAGAGGGCAGCTCAGGCAAGGGACGAGCTAGTGGGAGGCAATTACTGAAAAAGTAATACACAAGGGATGTTTCAGATCAAAATGAGCAGATTGTTTGGGCACTAGGAAATATGAGGGGAAAGGCAGTGGTATTGGGAAAACTAGAATTTTTTACATCTATGTTAAGCATAGAAATGCTTTTGGAATCAAAAGTAAAATGATTTCTGGGTTATTTTTATACATATATATATATATATTTATATATATATATATATATTTTTTTTTAGGCAGTAGTGGTTAAGTGACTTGCCCAGGGTCACACAGCTAGTAAGTGCCAAGTGTTTGGTCTGAGGCTGGATTTGAACTCATGTCCTCCTGACTTCAGGGCTGGTGCTCTGCCCACTGCGCCACCTAGCTGCCCCCTCTACTTTATATTTCTTACCTGTTCTTTTTCAGTCTAGATAATAAAGATGTTAAGATTGTTCATTCATTGTCATATAATAAATATGAACACTATCATAAGAAAAAGCTTTCTGAAAAATAACTATCTTAAAATGGAATGGGCTGCCCAGGAGTTCATGAGTTCCCCTTCACTTGGAGGTCTTTGAGTGGAAGCTTGGCAGCGATGTTGAAAAAGAGATTTCTGGTCAAATATGAGTTGGAATAAATGTCCTTTGAGTTTCTTTAAGTTTCTGGGATTCTGGGATTCTGGTGACTGGTCTATCTAAAATGTACACAGGTAATTATCCTTAAAGTAATTTGAAGAGGGAGAGAGCATCAGAACCATGGAGGATCAGCATGGAGGAGGATGTACCTTGAGCTGACTCTTGAAGAGAGTCAGGGATTCTGAGACCTGAAGATAGGGGCATATTGTAGGCATGAGAGATGGCCTGTGCAAGTGCCCAGAAGTAGGAGGTGGGATGTGGAATTTGGAAGTGTTTAGTCCAGTTTGGCTAGAACCCAGAATGCATAAAAGGGAGTAATGAAATGATGAGCCAGGTCATGGAAAGGCTTCCAGATTGAAAAATGTGTGGTATATCCTAGAGGCAATGGGGAGCCACTGAAGGGTTTTGAGAATGGGGAAATAAGCATTTATGTAGCACTTATTATGTATCAGGCACTGTGCAAGGCACTTTTAACAAATATATCATTTGATCTTTACAACAGTTATGCAAGGTAGGTGCTATTATCTCCTTTTTACTGTTGAGGAAGCTGAGGTAAACAGCTGTTAAACCTCTGTTAAGCAGGTTGCCCAGGGTCATGAAGCTAGTGAGTATCTGTTTGACCTCAGGTCTTTTGGGCTCCAGGCCCAGCAGACTATCTGCTGGCCCACCAACTGCCATTGAGAGATATGTTCAGACCTGTGCCTTAGGAAGATTCTTTTTGCAGGTTTGTGGAGGTTGGTCTGGAGAGGAGAGAGGTGAAAACTTATCCTAAGTTCAGACAGGAGGCAGGAAGTGATAGAGTGGTAGCCATGCAGGTGGAGAGAGAAGCAGAATTGGGGTCATCCAAGCCTAGGGATTGTTTTGGCTGGCAATGCCCTCCGCAGAAATAGGGGAATTTTGGAGGCAGGGACAGGTTCAGGAGGGAAGATAGTCTTGTTTTGGATGTGTTGAAGAAGACAGTCTATACTCAGGGCATTCACTGTCTTTCCCCTCATATTTCCTAGTGCCCAAACAATCTGCCCATTTTGATCTGAAACATCCCTTGTGTATTACTTTTTCAGTAATTGCCTCCCACTAGCTCGTCCCTTGCCTGAGCTGCCCTCTTCTTTGCTTCTGCCACGCCCCCACCCCAGTCATCTAAATTCTACCCATCCTTCAAAACTTAGTTAAGGGGTTGGCTTGTGTCTAAAAAAATGTCAGGAGAGGAAAAAGGAGGATGAGTAGAGACAAACTTGATTTTAGAGAAATAATAGAAATGGTGCTTCCTGAGCTATTCCTACTTTCCCAAGAGCTGCAGTCCTGGTGATCCATAGTATATAAGCCAAGGGTTCACTTGTTGCCATCAGGCAGTATGAGATCCTCCGAATGTTCCTCACTTCCTCTTTTTGGTAAATACTAATTAAGATTATAAGGATTGTTGGGGGGAGTGGGGAAGGAGTTCTTTTATCTTTCTCAATAATTCCCTTTCCCTCTAGGGCAAACTGGCCTCCTTTTTCCTATCCAGAGTTGAAGCCTTGAGCCCTCAACTCCAGCAGGTAAAAGGGTTGTGGGGAGGACATAATCATGGAGGCTGGAAAGGGTAGGGCGGGGAAGAATACAGAAAAAGCTGGATCTCCCTGCATTTAACTTTATGGCAGTCATATAGAATACAAGGTCCCTAGTACTGGGATGATTCTGTATCTTTGCCCATACAGTCTTCCCCCTTAAATTTTTCTCTTGCCTCTGGCTTATTCTAGTCTAAGATTTGTCTTTCCCTCCTACCCAATCCACATAGACACCTCTACCTACTTCCTTGTCTCTTCCCTTATTTATGTCTGTCTTCTTCTGAGCTCATTGTGTCTTGGACTTCCTTTCTTCCTTTGTTTCCCTCAGGTTTAGAATCGATTTTCCACCACCATTCCCCACCCCCATTCCATGTTTCTCACTGGTACTTGGGGAGGATCACAGAGTGATTCCCTTGGGTGACCCAGTTCCTGACTCTCCTCCCTACTGTAGTTGGCGTGTGAGTGTTACGCGAGATTGCCTGCCCTGGGGGCTGGCTTCTCCCAGGGCCTGAAGCACACAGAGAGCTGGGAACAAGAGTTACATTGTCTGCTGGCCTCACTGCATGGCCTTTTGGGGGCCCTCTACGAGGGCGCTGAGACTGGTATGGTTGGGTCAGGATTAGTGGCCGGGAGAATGGTGGGGTTGGTAGGGTTTGATTGCTGTGGTCCTTGGGAAGGTGGTGATGAGAAGGGTGGGGAGGAAGATTGTTGCCGGAATGGCATGGTTGGGGGTTGTGGGATGACAGGCAAGGGATTATTGATTATCATTGATTATTTCTTGCTTCCTGTGGGGAAAACGCCACTTATTCTAAATAAGTCAAAGACAGAGGTTGGATCTGGGAAAACTTGAGAAGCCCTTATTTTGTTGAAACAGAACAGGACATGTGGAGATGAACAGCATGCCTGCTTTAGGCATGAGTATAAGGGTCCTTAACCTGAGCAGGGTAGAGTTAATCTGGGAAGACATCTTGGATTTGAATTTTGGGGAAAGGGGGATACGGTTTGGGCAAGGGATGATTAAAGGTAGGGGGTTTATTGGCTGTCACTCTGTATGTGTGTGTGTATATATATATATATGTATCCAGCCCCGATACAATATGAAGGTCCTGGAGTGGAGCTGCTGCTGCCACCCCCTGCAGATAATGATGTTCATGGTCTTCTCCAGCTTCGACAAAGGTTTTCAGGGCTGGCCCGATGTCTAGGGCTCATGCTCAGGTGTGGGAAAGGGAATGACATGGTATGGGGAGGTGGGAATGGGGGCGGGAGAGAATAATAAAGGTTGAAGAGGGGAGGAGGGCCTGGAAAGAGGCAAAGTGAGAGATGGAGTCAGGGGAGATTAGAATTCAGCTCTTGCCGGGGTGCTCTCAAGTAAAGAAGGCAAGAAATGATACTGGTCAGGGCCCTAGGGAAGTAATGAAAGGACCAGAGAAAAAAGGGCTGGTCATTTGGAGGGTCCAGGCCTGATAGCAACTTGTCCCTGCCTCCACTTACAGCTCAGAATTTGGGGCACCAGTGTCTGTGCCAGTGCAGGACATACTGGACATTATCTGCCGGACCCTCAGTGTTAGTGGCAAGAACATTGTAAGTGAAGAATACTCACCACATCTCAATAGATCACCTGTGCTGTCTTTACCTGCCCTAGGATCCCCTGACTCCTAAGAATCAGGGCTCCTTATATTCTCTGCCTTCCTCTCCAAAAATGCCCCTACCTTTTCACTTTTTCTTATCTCCTTTCTTCATTGCCTCCTTTCCCTTCTAGCCTCCCACCCCCATACCCTACCCTCGCCTTCCCTTGCCCCATGAACATACTGATTTCTCTCCTGACCAGAGCTGGCTGGGGGATGGTCCTTTAAGGCTACTGCTGTTGCCCTCTATCCACCTGGAGGCCCTGGATCTGCTCTCTGCCCTTATCCTTTCGTGAGTGTGATTGGGGAGGGGGGAGTTGTTGAGGGAGTTGGGAAGTGATCTCAGTGTTCATATTCTCCCCTCGCTCTTCCAGGTGTGGGAGTCGACTTGTTCGATTTGGGGGACTTATCTGCCGCCTGCTTCCCCAGGTCCTTAACACCTGGAGTGCTGGGCGCGACCCCCTTCCCCCAGGCCAGGAGAGACCTTATAGGTAATGAAGCTCTAGGAGTGTTGCAGTAGCACTGGGGAGAGTAGATGGGATATAGGAAGAAGTCAACTGAAAGGATTGTGCGAGAGGTGGGTTCTAAGAGAGGAGTGGAGAAGAAAAGACTCCTTTCACATCCATAACTCTCTCCCTTTGTCTCCCAGTGCAGTTCGGGCGAAGGTGTACTCAGTGCTGGAACTATGGGTACAGACCTGTGGGGCTGGGGCTGGGGTACTCCAGGGGGGAGCTCAGTCTGAGGCTCTGCTCACTCACCTGCTTAGTGACATCTTCCCACCTGCTGATGCCCTCAAGGTGAGGCCT